TCAAACATTATAAGGCATAAAAACGCTTTAAACATATTGGTCGAGGCTTAAACACTTTTTATAGAATAGTTACCAAGCAGATATCATTCAGGGAGATTCAGGTTACAGTTTCTAGTATTAAGACAAAGATGATGTGATATTACAATTGGCTAAGGTTATGATAAAGATCAGGTGATGGTATATTTTGGACTCAAAATTGAACCGAAAATTGGATCTTCACTCAATACCAGTTACCTACTGGCAAACAAGGATAAGTTGAGCTCCGACCTGAATGCAGCCCACTGGCGCTTGCCATTGTTAGCGAAGGGGCCCCAGGTAGTCTGCGATCAAGTGTAGTGCAATAGGTGACCACTAGTCTGTCGTACAGACCCTGAAGCTAATATATCCAAGAAAGCCCACGCAAGTCTAGAAAATGTGGCAAGTCTAGATTTCCTCAGCTTCTGAAAATGAAGAAAGTCTCAGGGCTCCTTTTCATTATATTATATTTTTTTTACTATGAACCATTTTCAGCAAAATGTGTTTATTACAGAGACTAGTTGTTAGTCTAGATGACCACGTGAGAGTCTTATGAGCAAGGCGTGTGCAGCTACGCATGGAATCATCGTCATGGACTGCACGTGCACTAGCCTACATCTGCTCTACCTTTCATAAACCAAATGGGTTTGTCCATTGCCGTGCACCGCCTACTTCTCGCAAAAGCCTTCTCTGCGCCGGTCTAACTTATCCTTGTTTGCCAGTAGTGCGCCATTTTCATTGACGCTGCACGCTAGCGAGCCATTGCTGGTAATATATTACCGACCCAGCAGGCACATCAACGTTGTTTCAACGTTGAGAATAGGTTGGTCCTCAACGTTGAGATTAGATTGAAAATAGGTTGTATAGGAAAGTTTTTTAGACGTAGATGTCCGACGCGGAATCAACTTTGAAGTTTGACCAATTATCAACGTTGAAAAAAGGTTGATCCTCAACGTTGAAAATAGATTGAAAATAGGTTGTATATGAAAGTTTTTTAGACGTAGATATCCGACGTGGAATCAACGTTGAAGTTTGACATATTATTAACGTTGAAAATGGGTTGTTCCGTGGTTGTGTCTGGGAGGTATTACGCTTTCCTGTAAATAGACTTGCACTTCATCTTTAAACTACACTAAAGTAGCACCAAACTCATGCATCCAGCTAAAATACCCAAAAAGCTACCTGAGATAACCAGTGTTCAAACATAAAATTGCAGTAAAAATATTTACCTGATAAAATACTTGGTTACAATTCCACATTCAATACAATGTTCATTTAAGTTTTATGTCAGTTGGACGTATAATTCCAGTAAGAAGAATAGAGTATTCCAAATTAAGAAAAACTATTTACTGTTGTATTGTTATCTTGAAAAGGTGGAAATTGTCCCAAGAAGACATTTTGTCTGAATTTCAGCTATTAGACAGACCCCTGAATAAACACAATGCAATTACTTTCACCGTGAAAGGGATCCAAGATGAACAGGAGCTATACCTGAAGACAGCACATAAAACCAGTCACTTTTTATGAAATCTTTATGAACACAAACGCACACAGAGAAACGTGGTTTAAAGCATAATGTAAAACATCACACATGACATAGTCTGTAGGTGATCTCTGTTGTGATAATAACACAATATCATCTGCATATAGCATTAAACTGACATACAGCTTCTCTTCTTTCTGCCACGCCCTGCCTGGCAGTCAGGTGGATACTTCAGAAACGTTCCTAACTCTTTCTTGAAATTTGCTTCGGATGCATTCCCATCTCATTCCCATGAGATAGGACACATTCTGAAATTATATATTTAAATACATGAATAATTTTATATGGAAGATATATTGTCTTAAATGATTCAAGTATCTGTTTAATCAATCACTTGAAAGGTTCATTTCACTGCTGTAACTTGCCATGTTAACATATGAACAGCATCAATACAAAATGTGACGAAAAATGTAAACAATTTATATTTTCAACTAAAGGAATGGAAGTTTTCTTAAACATTTTCAAAGAAAATCCTCAATTGCAAGTTGATTATACAATTAGACTATGAATTAGGATGAATTAGACGATGCTTTACTGTCATATATTATTTGCTATGGTCATGATGAAAAAGCTGCATTTGGTAATTAAATTACCAGAGATGATTGAATACAACCTTGTATTCTTAAAAGAAAACTTGCCGTTTTGCCCATCAACATTCATTCTTGACATCAAATTGTTTGACATTGTCCTGCAAAACAATGGAAGATTGTTGTTATTCTGTCAGATTTAGTTTTCTTTAGAGATTCTCAGAAACGATTATTTCAAATTAAATAGGAGTTGTACTGATGTAGCAATTTTGCTAACAGGAGTCATAAATTGTAACAAAAGCCATTTTACATTAAATGATAAGAAAACAAAATGGGTGGTGGTTCACAGGTCAAAGAACAAGTCTATTGTGGGAGGTCTTCCAACACCATTTATTCCCAAACACAAGGAAGTATGGATCATGGAGTTCTGAAAACAATAATGAGCTCTCATAAGTATACAATATATTCCCTATTATCTACTCTGTCTCTCTTTGTCATTTGTACACTCATAAAACTCAGATAAATAACTTCTTCATAATTCAGAAATGTTTACACTTAATCTCTTATAGGAACGCTTAGAAAATCTCTCATATAATGAATTATGTGTGCCTATAATATCTGCGACGTCATAACTATGCTTCTCTGAATCATGAACAATAAAATAATGAGATTAAACTCTACACTGCCAGAAATAATCTATCATACCCTAAATAATAAGACACTGAATAACATCTCTTACAACTCCAATCTACACTCAAAAAGACTTAAATGTACTCGTAAAGAAACATCGCTGGCACACGCAAATTCTTGGAAACAGTGTATCTCTGACTCTCAATTCCAAGAAATGGAAGTCCTACTCTATTTGACCAAAGGGGTGACAGGTGGCCAAAACATATTGAAATGTAGGTCATACTATGTCATACACCGAAAATAACTCTGATTTAAAACACTACAAATGTACACCTTCTCTCTAATATACTCGATAGATGATCTTGACAAGGGAACATGTACATAAAATGCTGATATCTAACAATACCTGTACTCTAAATAATGGACTCTTCCAGATCTCAGTATGTTTCACTGCACTCTCCTACCCATCGCTGTGCCGGAGTATGGTTTCACTGCACACACATTTAAATGCAAAATAATGAAAAACCTACACTTTGACAATAATAAAGAAACATCATATTCAAATTCTACAGCTGACCAAATACCTGAAGAGTGTGTCTCCCAGCAATAAACATCTATATATCTCTATAAATTTACTTCTGTCCTCTCGCGCGCTTTCTCGCATCCAGCTCTTTACGGCGAAAAAACAATATGGCGTCAAGCAAGGGAGTGCTCATTAAACTAAACATCTCCGGGAGAAAACATTGTCAAATTATTCTCTTACATGATCAACCTTTGTGGTGGATATACTGGAAACAAGTGAAATGTTAAAAACATGTTACCTTAGCATTGCTCCTTTTATGTGATCCACAAAATTGATGCCACCCAGTCTTCGAAGATGAGATTTCTGCAAATTCCATTAAAATTATATCTTATTTCATAATTAAATGTTCCTTACTAGATTACTTCTTTTGTATGTAACATTTTAACCTTTAAGAGACATGAATCATCACATCCCTTCCAAACAAGTCTAAGAATGAAAGTCTGTGAGTGCAGTTTTGTTAATTGTCCCATCAAAGAATCATTAGTGAACTTACACATTTTGTAAATAAATAAAAGTTCAAATAAATTATATGCAATTTCATCCTTAACAAAGACTTGCACAAGACATTTTGATGTGAACTTTCGTTGCATGATCTGAGAAAGATTTCCTTTCGCCATTCTCCATCCCCCACACCCCAAATAATATGCATATGTTGACAGGGTTCAGAGCGTGCTCAATGCATAATTTACTGATAGACTTATTCAAACGAACAAATGTTCATAATAATGTGATGCAATATAAAATGTTGATAAATTCTGTTCGATTTTGTATAGCTGCCCTTAGGGATCGTTCATAATGTATGGCTTGGGGGTGATGATGATTTTTATGAAGAAGCATGTACAATGTGAATATGTGTCACTAGCTCGATCTTGATCTTTTATGAAATTAATGTTCCGAAATGATAGTTGCTAAGTTGGATACCTATTACCAATATGAATTATGTATCAGAGGGGACAATTAGTTGACATTTTGTTGGTTCCTTGCGTTGAAACAACGTTGACAACTAAACGAATCTCGACTAACTTTCTTTGGTCGCATGATAAACGTTGAATAAACGTTTATGAAAGGTTGATCAACCAAACAACCAAAATTCAACGTTGATTCAACGTTGTGTGTCCGCTGGGGAACGACTGAAATAAATACTTATTTCTGTTAATATGGTAATAATCCATCTACCTATGACTGAGGACATGTAGGAATGTATGAAATATAGCATAAATCCAAACCGGGTCATACAAAGGTATATATATTATTTAAACCCGTCTCACAAATGTACAACATTTACTATTATTTCACGCATTTTAAATTTATGAAAATGATTATCATATTTACACACTTTTGCCATATTTGTTCATAGTCTCCCGGATTCACTTTTATTTCAACAAATGCACTTTTTGTGGCCACGTGCATATGATGCCTGCATGCATTTCAAACATTGGTCGTCTAGGCCTTGGATGATACGTTTATTTCCTAACATGGTTAGATTTGAGAAATATTGTTCCTTTGCGTGGTGACTAGTATCAATCGTTCGATTCAAATAACACATTTATCAAGATTACCACTCGTGTTGGCTGGCTACACAAACGTTTTGTTTACACTTACAGAGGCATGTGTGGGCGGGAGCAAAGGTCGCGATATTTCATTCAAGGGAGATAAACCCAAGTTTGTTTGGGAAATTGCTTCATCTGTATCACGTGACGCGCTGTGTTTCAGCCGCCTGCGCAGCCGATGATCTCATAGTGTACGGTTAATGATAATCAGTTAGAGCCGACAGTGGTCGCGGAGAGCCAATTCAGTAACAGTACAACTCAGCTGATGTCCATCTTGCACGGACTGCCATTGTTCGCAGTCAGTCAGTGAGAAGCCTTTAGGAGCGTATCTCGTGCAGAAGAGAAGTATCTCGAGGAGTGCATCTGGCACACGTTTTCCGCGTGACACTGACTGACAGCCGCTGCCATGACTGAGTGGTTCCTTGGACTGGCGTTTCTCTTAGGAATCGTCAAGATGCTGAACATGTCAAGCCTGTCTGTGGCACCAGACATCTACATTAAGGATCGATCGTCTGCATTTGTGAAAAGCATTCTCGCAGCATGCCCCATCTTCCTAGAACCGTAAGTTCAATTTTCGCGCACCTGTTTTGATTGACAGGTACACATTTCACACGGTTGATCTGCGGCGAGCGTTGATTCCGTGACTGACATTGTGGTATGTGTTGTACATCGAGCACAGAGCAGATTGCACCGAGCAGCGAGGGCCAGATGATTTCCGGGTTCAGCCATAGTGCACCTGCTGCAAAAATAGAACCTGGTTTAGTGTGTCAAGTCAAAGCAGCTAGACCTAGTCTTGTGGGAAGTAGCTATATATATATATATCTGTCTCACTCACAAGGACATGTTTTATTTGCATTTTGAAGGACATACAGTATACAGCAAATGAGAGTTACTCATGTAGAGGTTTTCTAGGAACTGTTACGGGAAAAGTCCTGTCAAACTGTGTTGTTGCTTGAAGTTTCCTAGTCTGTCTCACAGTCTCTGAACCACATTATTTTCCCTACTGCCTAGCCCTTCCTGCAATGTAGTCTGTCTCACAGTCCCAGAACCACATTATTTTCCCTACTGCCAAGCCTACTGCAATGTAGTCTGTCTCACAGTCCCAGAACCACATTATTTTCCCTACTGCCTAGCCCTCCCTGCAATGTAGTCTGTGTCACAGTCCCTGAACCACATTATTTTCCCTACTGCCTAGCCCTCCCTGCAATGTAGTCTGTCTCACAGTCCCTGAACCACATTATTTTCCCTACTGCCTAGCCCTCCCTGCAATGTAGTCTGTCTCACAGTCCCTGAACCACATTATTTTCCCTACTGCCTAGCCCTCCCTGCAATGTAGTCTGTCTCACAGTCCCTGAACCACATTATTTTCCCTACTGCCAAGCCTACTGCAATGTAGTCTGTCTCACAGTCCCAGAACCACATTATTTTCCCTACTGCCTAGCCCTCCCTGCAATGTAGTCTGTCTCACAGTCCCTGAACCCATTATCCTACTGCTCTAAGCCTACTCCCTAGTCTGTCTGAACCACATTATTTTCCCTACTGCCTAGCTCCCCCTGCAATGTAGTCTGTCTCACAGTCCCAGAACCACATTATTTTCCCTACTGCCTAGCCTCCCTGCAATGTAGTCTGTCTCACAGTCCCAGAACCACATTATTTTCCCTACTGCCTAGCCCTCCCCAATGTAGACCTGTCTCAATGTAGTCTGTCTCACAGTCCCTGAACCACATTATTTTTGCCTAGCCTCCCCCCTGCAATGTAGTCTGTCTCACAGTCCCTGAACCACATTATTTTCCCTACTGCCTAGCCCTCCCTGCAATGTAGTCTGTCTCACAGTCCCAGAACCACATTATTTTCCCTACTGCCAATGTAGTCTGTCCCTGCAATGTAGTCTGTCTCACAGTCCCAGAACCACATTATTTTCTCCCTACTGCCAAGCCTACTGCAATGTAGTCCTCACAGTCCCTGCCTACTGCCCTCCCTGCAATGTAGTCTGTCTCACAGTCCCAGAACCACATTATTTTCCCTCCCTACTGCAATGTAGTCTGCCCTCACAGTCCCAGAACTGCAATGTAGTCAATGTGTCTCACAGTCCCAGAACCACATTATTTTCCCTACTGCCTAGCCCTCCCTGCAATGTAGTCTGTCTCACAGTCCCTGAACCACATTATTTTCCCTACTGCCTAGCCATCCCTGCAATGTAGTCTGTCTCACAGTCCCAGAACCACATTATTTTCCCTACTGCCTAGCCCTCCCTGCAATGTAGTCTGTCTCACAGTCCCAGAACCACATTATTTTCCCTACTGCCAAGCCTCCCTGCAATGTAGTCTGTCTCACAGTCCCTGAACCACATTATTTTCCCTACTGCCTAGCCCTCCCTGCAATGTAGTCTGTCTCACAGTCCCTGAACCACATTATTTTCCCTACTGCCTAGCCATCCCTGCAATGTAGTCTGTCTCACAGTCCCAGAACCACATTATTTTCCCTACTGCCTAGCCCTCCCTGCAATGTAGTCTGTCTCACAGTCCCTGAACCACATTATTTTCTCTACAGTCAGCAATGTAGTCTCACAGTCCCTGAACCACATTATTTTCCCTACTGCCTAGCCCTACTGCAATGTAGTCTGTGTCACAGTCCCTGAACCACATTATTTTCCCTACTGCCTAGCCTACTGCAATGTAGACTGTCTACAGTCCCTGAACCACATTATACTGCCAAGCCTACTGCAATGAAGTCTGTGTCACAGTCCCTCTAGATTTGCCTCAGGTTCTGAATCTCCAATACTCACTGGGGCAAGTCCATTTCCTCAGGTTCTGAATCTTTCAATTTTAAATGAGTTTATTTGTTACTATAAAACTTATATATATTCAGAAGCTAAGCGTTAGTCTAGAAGTTTCCACATGATGGCCATAACTCAGGAGTTGATGTAATTGGTTAGCACACTTGGCAGTTGGCCAGAAGCGATATGATATAATACAAATTCATCATAAGCTGAGCGAATACAGTATCGTCTTTACAGGATATAAAATAAACTGAACGCCAAAAGAAATGTTACACCTCTGAACATTAGAATATCCTAAAATGTTATATGGATAGAAGACATTGGTTTGTTATGTTTTAACAACCAATCATGTAACTCTATTGAGTCAAAACATCAGACTGAGGAATTCATTGATAATTAGGATATCGACATGTTTGTTTAGGTGGGGTCCATTGTCCTATTTTCAATCATGTAAAAATTCAAATCAAAAGTGTAAAAAACAGTTAAAAATGGGTGCAAATGATATTATTTATGATGATAATGCATGCACATTCACAAAGAGTGATAAAGTTGGGTTTTGGATATGAAAGAATGGTTGTTTACCATAAAAAGGGACCCAATGCTGAAATTGGATTTTTGTCTCTTTAAAACACATTCCAACCACTTGAGGTTTAATTTTTGGATCATCATGACTTTCGACTGTTTTAGGAAGAGTCGTCAAACGAGAAAAGACTAATTTTTCCCTAAGATACTGTAAAATTTTGCCTATTTCTGTCCTTGTATAAGGAAGCATAACACCAAAACGTACCCATTGTAACTTCACCTTGCATGAAATGCATGTGAAAACTGTTGGAAACGGGTATATAAGGCCCCTAGATTTATCATTTCACACCATACATTCACTACAATGCCGAGATTAACAGCAGACGAGCGGGGGAGGGCCATTGGAATGCTGCAGACTGGGTCCACTGATCGGGAAGTGGTTGTAACTGGTGGCCTCCCGCTTTTGGGTCTGTCTCTAGTTGTGCCAGTATTCTGGAATCGCTGACGCAGCCTTAGAATGAAGAGGCAAGTCTGACCACCCAATCCACCAAATCTCTGAGTCCAACCACCCAATCCACCAAATCTCTGAGTCTGGCCACCCAATCCACCAAATCTCTGAGTCCGACCATCCAATCCACCAAATCTCTGAGTCTGGCCACCCAATCCACCAAATCTCTGAGTCAGTGCACCCAATCCACCAAGTGTCTCAGTCTGACCTCAAGATCGTCTATTACCTCCACCCAACAGGTAACAGGGGACATATTCTAACATGAATTCCCTTTGTGGGTTCAGACTGAGCTGACCTTGCAGAATCTGTTGTTTTGTCAGCTTGCATTTGATTAACGTGACAGATGTTATATTTGTGGTGAATATGGATCTGCCTGTACCGAACTGTTGGTCAACAGCTGGCCATTCACTGCAGCTGTACCCGAGGTGTTTGATGTACAGATGCAGTGAAAACACTTCTTCTCTCATCCTAAACACTGTCCCCATGTCTTTAAACGTAACTCGCCTGGAACAGACAAGTCAGAAGCAGTGGTGCAAACTCCTACTTCTGGTGGAATAGTCAGTAAAATGAAATCACCCGTGAAGATCCGGGTTAGAATTGGTTGTTATTAGAGGCGACTAACAGGATCGAGGTCGTCTGACTCGCTGACTTGGTTGACAAGTCATCGTATCCCAATTGCGTAGATTGATCTCATGAAGTTGATCATTGGATTTGGTCCAGATTTGATATTTACAGACAGACACTATATATCTGGAATATTGCTGAGTGTTTCGTTCAACGTTATCAGAGCTTTAACTTGCAGTTTGACAAGTACACTGGGACAAATAAAATTTCTATTGCTGAAAAATAATTCCTGATATATTATAAAATATTTCTTTGTTAAGTTCATTACCCTCTGGAAAATGTGTATCTTTTGTCGTGACCATCAGGAGTTGTGAATTTTTTAATTTTTTTATTTTTCAGAAGTTTTAAATCAGATTCTATTTTTAAAAATAAAAATGGTTTTGAGCGTTAAGTGCAGGCACAGTTTATGTTGTGGATATTATATATTTGAGTTAAGATATTTATAACAGAAAATCAAATATATGTTATCAGCTGGGGTAGTATTTTTTCTCCTCAGTATATATTGACAAGAGCTGCTTCTTTTGGAGGTCGTGACTTAAGACTTGACATAATGTTCAACCCTTGGGACTTGGCGTGCGATATTGCTATTATTACTGATTCAAGTTCACCACTATCAGATAACAGCTCTCCTAGTCCACCTGTCAACAACCTCCAGATAAGACATGTAGGACGACAGGGGTCATCTCAAAGTTTGTGAGCTAAAGTATATTTCTGGACTCCGCAACTTTGATGAGTTAGTGAGTTGGATTTTACTCTGCTTTTAGCAATATTTCAACATTATGGAGAGGGAAACAAGAAAAGATCTTCATACATTGAGGAGAACTAAACTTAGGCTTTCGGCGTGATGAGCGGACTCTTGGGAGTTCTGAACATGCTGAAGCTGAGGAAATCTAGACTTGCCACATTTTCTAGACTTGCGTGGGCTTTCTTGGATATATTTGCTTCAGGGTCTGTACGACAGACTAGGCAACCCACTGCCCCTCTCTGACTTAAACCGCCTTTTGCAACCATTCAACAGCCTAGTCTGCAGTTATGGCAGTATTCCGATGATCCACGGATTTCTGCCAATTTTAATTCAAATTGATCAATTCTGTGAATCATCTGAATCCCCTATTCGATGACACAATA